GCTTCAGTTGTTAGCCCCAAAAATTGTTTACATTGATAAATGAAATGTTGATCCTTGCAAATTGCACAAGCTTGCCTTGTTGTTACGAATGACCTCGATACTGATTTGAACCCCCTGTATTTATTTGAGTTATCAAAGCGATTTTCAGTTGACACCTTGTTATTTGACGTTTTATTTGTATCTGTCGCCTCTAAAATTTGACAACGATGTGCCAAAAATTTCAAAAAATCATCTATTTTCGGAAAAGTACTCGTATTTGTTTGTGCTTGCCATTCTCTTTTTGATGAAGGATCTAGTTTTTTGTCTAATATGAAAATTAATAGTGTGTCCCATGAATCTACTGGTTGTCCCAACGATTTGAGAGCCCTAATACTCTTCCTAGTTTCATCCAACATTTTTCTGAGTGAACTATGTGATTCCCTGGTTATGTTTTGAAAGTTGAACAATGTTTCAATATGACTCAATGTAATTATCTTCTTATTTTCAAATCTCTCTTTCAACAGATCCCATGCCACTACATAGTTATCGTCAGACACTTCTAATGAATGCAAAACATCTGCTGCGTCACCCTTTATTGCATTTTTCAAGTAATAAAATTTTTGAACTGATGTCAAATCTGAATTATCGTGGATTAAAGACTTGAAAATATCACAAAATTCAGGCCAATCCTTGTACCCACCACTAAAATATGGTATTTCCATTATTGGTAATTTTACATTTGTAATTGCACCACGATTTCCACCTGGAGCTGGTCGAGGTTCTTCTTTACTTAAATTACGAAAAGCTGACTTTGCAGCCCCAATTATTCTAAAATAGTTTTCCTCGAAATCTACCAATTCCTGATTTTGAACCGCAGACGCATCAGATTCTGCTATATCATTCTGTACACTATGAAACTGATCCCAAAGTTCTTCACATTTCTCTATTCGAGGACCTAACTGATCTGCTTTGTCAACTGTAAACTCATTTACAAATTCCCCAAATCTTATCAACTGTGATGTGAGGCTACTCCTCTTAGCCTTTAGTTTTGTTAAATTGCCTGTATTTGGTGCCATCTTAATCAAAATCGAAAACCTACCCCTAAATGACGCAAATTAAAGACATGCACTACAACAATGATAAATAGTTTATGCACTCACCCTGTAACAGCCCTTTTTGCCTCCCAAATGTCCAATGCCTGACCTTATTTTCCTTGTTTATTTTATGTTCCGATCACCACCAATGTTCAATGCAGCACCCTGTGTTGTGTCCAAGCCCCAATCCTGTGTATTTCTGCACTGCAGTTGTTGAAAATGTATTTCTCCACCTCCTAGTTTGTCTACAGCGATGGTACCCTGCCGTAGCCTTGTCGTTTGAACCTTCCTATCCAAGTCCTCCTATACGATTTTCCTTGTGCCCTTTGAGAATCTGATTTTCGTCGATGTAACACTCCGTAATTTATTAGGAATGATGTCCGCCTGATTTGATTATCCCTGCAGCCGCCGAAATCACTATTCAATGATTATTCCAGATCCGGTTCGAAATAGACCAATGTTAGGGTGTATCCCAATTTTTCTATTTGATGTAATGAAACCTCGTATGTATTTAAACATATAATGAAAATAATGGACTGTATAACATGAAAAATGAAATCAAGAATAGTGACAGTTTTTTTTTTATTTTAATGACGGCAAAAGTCAATCAAAATTGTTGATCACTATCGTCGTCTCTTGTCCGTCGCTAACTTCTGATATGCATAGCAAACTGCAAAATTTCTCAACTTATCATCTACTGGGTCTTCGTTATCCCTCGCAGAGAGTATGATATATGAACATATCAAACTCTTAAGGTCCACATTTAGAAAGAAATGAGAAAAAAATAATTTTGTGGAAAAACAATGTTCCAATGGTTGTTGAAACAACTTATTATTGAATTGAAAGTGTTCATTTTTTTCTTACAACAAGAAAGTCATTGTTCCTGTTCTGGAACTAGGGTTCACAAAGTAACTCTTTATTTCCCCCCACCCTTTCCTACAAACTGATTCTGATACTAATTTGTGTTTTTTTATCCCTTGGAGCGCAAGAAAGAGAATCTCTGCTATAATGTTCGAAAAACATCATGTGTACCTTAGGGAGGATAGAGAGAGAAGGTAGGTATTGGATTTTTTTCCGAACTTTCCGGGTTTATAAGTTCTTGATGGGAATATTTCCTTGCGCATGAAATTCTAAAGCTTTACTGGTATGGCAAACGATAGACAAACTATATTTGGTAAAGACGTTCCACATATTTCAAGAATGACGACGAGAGGATGTGCTAACTGACCTTGTCGAGTACGTCTGACTGATGTATAGATAGATAGATAGCTAGCTTTATTCAAAGAAGTGTACTCATACATTTACAATACATAAATACAATTAAATGAACTGGCGTCAAATGATATGATGTTTGTTAACAAACGAACATCTGAGAAAGAAGAAGGTACTGAAGTCACTATTAAAAAACGAACATGTTAAAAAATACATACTTAATGAGTAAAATAAAGACATTTGATTGATATACAAAACATTAAAATACACTAGAAAAAAAACGGACAGATTGATATTACATTGTTAGCAAATAAAATAGATATACATAATGATAATAACAATAGCTAAAAATGAATGAATGAAACAAGTGACTGACTGACACTGAATTGAAATATACTTTAACCAAGAAATGCATCTATGGTATATGGTTCTGTTTCTATTTATATATGTATACAGCGTGTCTCATTTCAAAAGCCCCCCCCCCCCTCTATATCTCAGCTATCAGTCGTGCGATCTTTACCAAATTTGTATCGGTATGAATAATCATCAATATGACCAGTTCTTCAAAGACAAGCATCAATTTAAATAGTGCCGTGCATTTTTATTGAAATGAATAGGGGTCAGTTTTTTATTAAATTAGGCATTTTTTCACAGGAAAACTGACCTCATAATATTATTCTACATGGTTTCAAACCCATATATGTGGATTTTCTTGAGATGCCTGTAAAGGGTTTCAGAAAAACAGGCACATTCAAACAGCATTTTTGCGAACGTAATAATTATTTATTCGGAAACGGTGAGTTCAACATAAAAAAGTATAACTCGTTTTTCCTTCCAAATCATGATTTTCCACCTACCGGAGCCATTGAACGTTCCAAAGTTCGTAGTTGATTTAAAGTGGCTATTTATTCGAGACTGAAAATGAAAAAAATTAAGCCAATCCTGTTAATTCGGAATTAGGTGATTTTTAGCATATGGTGGTTTGAAGGCATGAGGAACAATAATGAGGTTAGATTTCCTGTAAAAAAATGCCTAATATGATTTTATGAAAAATCGACCCCTTTTTAGTTCTATAAAAACGCACGACACTGTCCAAAATAACGTACATCTCTGTAAAACTGATCATATTGATGGTTATTCATACCACTAATTCATGACTAATAACTGAGATATAGAGGGGGACCGTTTCAAGTGAGACACGCTGTATATCCCTATTATAAACAATAATGTTTCTTGGGGTGATAAAGACAATCAATTTTGCTAGTGATAGAATGATAGCAGAGATTTCTGAAGAATATTTCCCTTGGAAGTATCTATCTACTCAATTACAGACGATGCTCTTCGTGTCACAGATTTCAGTCGTTCGCTTGAATTATTTAAAAGTATGGTAACGAAACAAATGCTTCAAATCCAGAATTTCTGATTCATGTTTGGTGTCAATATATGTAATTGAATCGTTTCGATTTAATTTTAGTGATCCTCCTGCTGTGCATACTTGTCTCTTTCCTTCTCTTCCCTCTACTTTTCCTCTCTTACTCTTCTTCTTAACTCTTCATATACTATACTAATGCTCTTAGGTTCTCTAACCGTTAGATTTATAGTTTCTTGTTAGGTTTAGGTCTGACCAGAATGGAAGAACAGTTTCAATCTACTTGGTAGAATTTAACTGAACTCTGTCCAATTATTCTCAACATTAAGTATGCTAAACCTTCAACCTTATACTTGTCATTGGTTTTTGGGGAATTATAAACGTATTGTTATTATTATTATATGAGATTTTTGTATTTCAACCTTTATGGTCCTCAATTAAGCAAACATCCAAGATATCATTTATTGCTAAATGTTTGTCAATAATTAAGGATTTTTAAGCGCATATTACTAATTTTAGAATAAAAATTATTTACGTTTGTAGAAAAAAAGTTATTTCCAACTCGTGTGCGAAATACTCTGGTGATCTCGACTATTTTTTTACCTCTGCTGCTGCTGCGCCAGTTCGCGATCACCAAAGTAGAAATATGCGCACTAGATACAAGAATAATTATTGAGTGACTATTTCGATTACTCTGTATTTTCAGAACGAGAAGAATATTTTGATTGATGAGGAAATAAATATAGGAGAATTGAAACTTCTTGTGCAGAATCTGTATATACTTATATTCAAAGACTTTTGTGAAGACTTGATACGTCTGTAGTTCGAAGAGACGCGTCTAGCTAGACCAGCGAATCTTTCTAACATCAAGGTCAAGTGACGTCACCCACAACACATGATATGTCTTCCTTCATTATATTGAGAAAACACTACTACTACGAGTAAAGCGATAGCTTAGTGGTCTATGTATCTAACTTCCACGTTGGTGACTGGGGTTCAATCCCTGCGAGGCGTCATTTTTTTGAAGTTTTTTCCACTCAATTTCTCAAAAATATACTGTTCAGGTAAAAGGTTCATTTAGGACAAGTTGAGTTGAAAGTTATTTTCCTTTTCCATGCAGAAGATATATTTTCCTTAGTCATATTACCTAACTAAACACGAATAACCTTCTGATAACCTTGAGGTTTGATAGATTCGCTGGTCTTTCTAGACGCTTGTGCTCGTGATTGATGAAAGTGGGCGATGTTATTAAGCTCTTTTGTAAATTTTACGACAGCGCACCCGCTGAAAGGTGTCTTCTGTCCTAACAATCTCATCTAAAAACCTTCGTTTTTTCTCGGTTTCAGTCGACAAGATGACACACATGGTCGGCTCGTACGCCCCCAAAACCGAAATCCAGTCGTACACGACCCCTGCCGAGGACGCCCCCTCAGGCTTACTCGCAAGGGGTAGTTACACGGTGAGCTCGCTATTCACCGACGATGACAAGAACGAGCACCTCAAGTGGGAGTGGACGTTCGAAATCAAGAAAGACTGGAAGGACTAGGTGAGTTGCTGTATTATTGTATACTGGGTGTATATCTTGGTTGATCGACAATTACAGGAATGCTCTGTATTTCGTCGGGCACGATAATATACTTTGTATGTGCTACTGCCAAGTCAACCTGAAGATTTACTTCACATTCACCAACAACTGTCATATTCGTTAGAGTCCAAGTAACACCTAATTCACGAGCAATACTTTCCTTGAGTATAACCGCACCACTGCCGGTATCCACGTATGCTCTGTCTGGTTGAGAAATTATAATACAGTCGATGAACTAACAATCATGACTACATAGATTCGGGTTTCTTTGTCGTTACAGTAGTTGTAACAAACGTTTTTCCTGTTCGAATATGTTCCCTTCGTTTACGTTTGCAAGAGTCATTCCTATGCCCCAGTCGTTTACAGAGGCTGCATTCAATTTTTGGTTTGACACAATGCCTAGAGACATGTCCTTTTCCGTTACAATTGTAACACCGGATGTCATTTCTAGGGCGTTTATTATCCGTGGCCGGCTTGATTATAGAAAAATGAGTATTGTCTCTCGAACGGTAATTTCTATGGTTCTCCTTTTGGTTGCTTTGGACTGTACATAAATACTCCTTATGCTTCTGGTGTATGAAATCTACTAGCTCTTGCACCCGTTATTCAGTCCATCAATTATGCAAGATATTCCACATCAATTTATTAGCTGCATTTTGCAAAAATAATACTCTGTCATGGATTCGTTTGGGGACTTATCTATCTAAAAGTTTGCATAACAGACATGCATAATCTTGATGTTCTGGGAAAGTTTTATTCATGACATTCTTCCATCCATGCCAGTTAGAATAATGAGAATTTAAAGTTTCATACCACTTCTTCACGTATCCTGCAAGCCGTGCCTGCATATTATAAATCATCGTTTTCTCACTCCAGTTATGTATTTCAGCTAACTGCTCGATTTATTCCAACCACTTTTTCACACTCAGAGTAGGAGTTTCCGGTGGAAACAAAGGGATACAATCCGCATTCGCTGGAGTTCGGAAATTATTCTTATCCTGTGTCTGACTCAGTTTCCGACGCAAATCTCTCTTCCTTTTGTAAACATAGTTGCCACATTAGCAATTACATTTTCCAGGAATTATATTACTAGAGAAAAAGTAAATTGGTTTATTGAAACAATTAGTCGACAAAATCATAACATAACAAACCAAATGATATGAAAAGCGTTCTGTTAGATACCTGCATCACAGTTTATCTTAGCCAATCTTGAAAAGTATGGAATATTTCGAAGTTCAGAGTAGATTAAATCTGATCAGCACTGAATTACCAATCAACCTAATCATCTCTACTACATACTAATTTCGAATCATGGCATTCCTTGCACCATCTTGCACATAAGATAAATTCAAGGATTTCATGGAGACCTGGCAACAGCGCTGTGCTTCCCAGCCGACACAAAATCTAACCAATCAAATTGCAAGGAGACACTGATGACATCATAGCTCAGTAGCGTTTGAATCCACAGGTATTGAAATAACATTTTCAATATTGAATAATTCATTTGTTGTTCGATTTTCTCGAATAATATTGGGTCAGGATAACGTTTTAGTTTTCTTCATAATATTATACGAAAAAGGGTCAAAGTTTACGATACTGGAAAGGCGCATTATGAAATATGGACATAAGACAGCAGACTTGAACTGTTTACGTCACCAGCAGGAAGATTATTGATTTTTTTCGTTTCAGATTCCTTATCTCATGCTCGTCAACTCCCAAGTATTAAGCTGCCTCAAACCCTTAAAGTTAGTAGTCTTTTTGAAACCCGTTTACAAAAAAATTTTTGGAAAATTTTGCTGATTGTAGAAATCGGTATTGCCTTAAACATTATTGTATATTTGTATTTGTACATGCACATTATTGATTTGTATTTTATTCGGTGATTAATTATTTAAATTACATTGCATAAAGAGTAATTATTTTTAGGAAATATATCTGATAGAAATTGCATTTAAGAGCCACTCGAAATTGTTTTGGAATTACTTTCAGCAGTTTTTCGGGGTTGAAAAGCCAAACAGCCAGATTTGTTTTCATTGAAGCTATAAGAGGAGCGAACATTATTTTTGTTGAGTTTTTGGGGAGTATACTGATATTTTAATATTTAATAATAATAAATGTTTCTTTGTATCGACTTTTGAGATTTTTCCGCACGCTAGTAGAAAAAATAGTGTACCTAACCCGTGTGGAAAAGCATAACTTTTCGCACTTGTTAGTTTAACTACTATTTTGCACTTTTGCTTCAACTTATTGCGGTAAATCGGTAATTTGTTGATGAGGGTTGAGTAAAATCGAAACTCAAAAGTCGAAATCAAATGCATGGTGGTCCAGAATTGTTTCCGGATATTTCTATAGCTGATAGTAACTATCTTAGACTAACTAGCAATAGATAGTCCCTGCGATTCATTCATACAATCCTAAATGCCAAACAGATTAATGAATACAATTTCGAATGGTGGTTATAGATCTAATAAATCGCACTGAATGAGAGTATGTGCATTAATAAATCAATTCTCACGCATTGTCACATATTTATTCGCGAGATTCACGAAGTGGGCGACATCTAGGTTACATAATACGAACTTCAAACTGGGGGAAAACAAACTGTTGTCTATGGATAAAGTGCATAGACTACATTGCATTCAGCTTGCTGTTGCTGTAGTCAAACTTGTCAATGATATAAAGTGTTGGCACTGTTGGAAGTGATGATGGTCGAGTTGGTTAATTTTTTCACATTATCACATTTTTATTAGTTTAGTGAACAGTGAAGAGGTGAAGAATTTGAGATAGTTCAAACAATTCAAACTAATTATGGCGAGCAAATCAATTGACATATAAAAGAACAGCTACAACATGTTTACAATACCCAGATTGTCTTGCTTTGCAGGAGAAAATACAAATCCATTGTTCTACAGGAGTTCCTCTGGACCCCAACTTCAATTTTACTTCATGTGGGGAAGCCGAAGTTTGTAGACAAAATGCAAAAATGTGCCTTTTGTTGAAGTCTTCTGCCTCACACAAAATCACATGATTAGCACAGAGAACTGCTTCTCCTTCCACTACTGGTCGGCTTTTTCCATCTAAATAGAGCAAAATATCTACCAAACGAACATCTACAACAGGCGTTTTCGATCGAATATTGACAATTTATGTCAAGAAATTTAAAAACATCACTCTTATCAGTACACAGTACACAAGCTAATGGCACTAATGAGATTGAGTTTGTTTTCCCCCAGTTTTGACGTGGCTTTGACATGGAACGATGAAAACCGAGCGCCACCTGGTAACATTGATTTCCGCGAATACGCCATAGATATATATATATATATATATTATAAATATGCTTTTCATCAACAAAAGCAAGCCCTCAAACATTACTGCCACTGTACCAAATTTCTACGTACCTGTGAAATCTCAGGTTAGGATATTTGTAACTAAATTTTCTCTACAGATTTTACAGTGCCGAACCATATTTATTCACAAAATAGTCTGCTTTAAATCCATAATATTAAGTTATCTTATCCGCTACGCGTCGGGAGACAACACAACCTGGAGCTAAAATCTACTACTTTTTTCCTTTGTATACTGAATAACTATTATAGCAAAGAGTTATCTTGATTATGGATGTTTTATCAGCATCAAAAATGTCCAGACAATTCTGGACCACGTTTGAGTGAAAAATTCTTCTGAATTGTTGAAAACTGCAATTATGCGAAGTTGAAAAACACTTTTGAGTGGCTTGATGATTTCAAATGGGGGTTGATTGTTGGTGCTGATTCTTAGTATTTTCGCCTCATCGTCAGTAAAATTGAATCGTGCATAGGGTACCTATATTCTTACATACGCTGCGACTCACTTGGAAACAAAAATAGCTCATGAAATTCAAGTTTAAACTTTTTTACATAAAAACCAAGGTCTACTGCGTACATATTTCGGGAATTCAGAAGGTTATTTTTGGGGGCATTCGGAAAGGTATTACCCGCGTTTTCAAATGGTTCTTTTTCACTAGTATGATTTTTCATTACCTTCGAAAATGTAGTAGGCTGGCCTTGGATTTTATGCAAAAAAGTGCTACTCTTGTCCAGGCATACAGTTCTTGATAAAATGAAGACAAATTTGACAAACATTGGACATAGAAGACATTTCTAGTGGACCGTTTTCAAGTGGGTCACACTGAATGGAAATAAACCATGTTGAAAGTTGAAAATTTGAAGCTTTTTACTTTTTTATCGTTTCTACACCCTTGAAAACTAGACAAACAAAATTTTAGTTATCGAAATCCCAAATATCTAGAAAAAGTTATCGATCGTTGAGTAGCGATTTCGATTTTTTGCTCCATGTTATAATGCCTTTTATCTTGAAGATCATCCGACTAGTTGAGTGTTAAGGGCAAAACTGAAATTTGCATTTTGTCAATTTTTTTTCATTTTTGAAGAATTTAAGGGCAGAATTTGTTGTCTTACTTCATAAATAATGTTTTAAATAATGTTATACATCACCGAATTCATTGAAACTTGTGAAAAATCGTGTATGCGAAAATTCAAGATACTTGAGATTCAATTCGAACAAAATTTCGTTTGTCCGGGATTTGTCCAAGGGTGAAGAATACGTCAAAATATTGCTTGGTGCTAAATATTTTCCTGCCACTTTCCAAACGACTGTCAATTATAATATAACCATTCTAAATTTGTTGAAAAAAAACTTGTAGATGAACTTCTTTATGAGTACCAGTGACATATCCAGTCTATAATAATTAAGTTGACATAAAGAAGTTGAACTTCAATTGGTTAGTTTACTATCAGCATTCACATATTTCAGTCATATTAGAAAGATGATCCCGACAAAATTACTGAAAAAATTGACAGTAACGAGAATACAAGAGACTAAACCTCTTATTTGGAAAAAATGATAATTAATATTATTATTAGTAAGTACTTACATTTTCTGTCCTATCATTTTCTCAT